CCCCTTTCTCCTGCTCTTCTGGCCTGCTTCTTTGGGCGTCCCTGAGTTTCCCCTCCTCACCTAATCCCTTTGGCTGATTGCTCTTCTCTTTGGCTCCCTGGGTTTTACCCCTTTCTCCCTGCAGCACAGTGCATTTCTTAGCTTCCCTTTCCTACTGTAAACTTGAACCTATGAGCTACGTCAAATGTATCTTTACATTTCCCAGGATTCCCCACACTGGGCCTGAAAACAACAAATAGTTCTTGAATATGTTTCACAAAAGTAAGGGTCCAAGTGCAAAGTCAGCGTTTCACAGCAAGGTTAATTTATTCATGTGTTCGAGTGGAGACCTGAACCTGTAAGTTTAAATTGTACTTTTAACTCTGTGCAGCCCAGGACTTGTTCCTGGAGTTTTTAATTGTTTCAAATGGCCTCAATTTCTATGAGAAACTAACTGATATGTGGGAAATACTCAGTGATTGGCAGCTGTAGTTGCTGGTCTTGTTGCGTTTTTGTGGAGGGAACTGTAAATCCATGAAAGATCCAGTGTCTGTTAGAAACATGTGCCTTGAAGGTGGAATTGGAAGGGAGAGCCTGGCAGTGCTCTCTACTCCCCTGTTCTACTTGGACCTTCTGAAGAACCTCAGGTTTCCTCTTTTATCTTGGTCCAGGTCTTCAAGGCCAGTCCCAGGTGAAAGAATACTCTTGGGATGTGAGTGATGTCTTGTCCTGACCTTGCCACTGGCCAAGGCAGGGCCAGTAGGTTTCTAATCTGTACAGGGAGAAGGCACTTGGGCTAAAAGTCATTGCTCTGGGTTTTCCCAGGGGGCAGTATGGTTGGTTGGAAAGAAAGCCATAGTAGGAGTGCTGGCCGTGCCTGGATCCCAGGCCCCATCGACCCCCACTGCAGCCTTGGGACTCAACGCCTTCCCAAGTCTCAGCTTTGCATCTGTGGAGTGAGGCGGGCGGGCAGTTTCCACGGGCCTCCCTGCTCTGAAGTACAGCATTTCTGTTAGTGACTGGCGCGGAGCCTTCTCCAATCCCGCTTTCTCTTTATTATTTGTGAAACAGAAAATGACAGATGGCGAGACCTGGACAGGAAGTGCCCACTGCAGATTGACCAACCAAGCGCTAGCCTCTGGGAGTGCCTGCCGGAGAAGTGTCAGGACGGTGCCCTGTGGCACAGGGAGGCGGTGACCGCCTGTGCGGTGACCAGCCTGATCCAGGACCTCAGCATCAGTGACCACAGCGGGAGCCCCTCGGCACCCCCCAGTAAGCGCCAGTGCCGCTCCCTGTCCTTCTCTGATGAGCTGTCCAGCTGCCGGACGTCGTGGCGGCCCCTGGGGTCCAAAGTGTGGACTCCTGTGGAGAAGAGGCGCTGCTACAGTGGGGGCAGCGTGCAGCGCTATGCCAGCAGCTTCAGCACCATGCACAGGAGCTCCAGCTTCAGCCTCCCAGCCCGGGCCAACACACTCCCTGCCCCCTTCCACCAGGCCGCACTGCACCTCCAATTCGGGGGGCAGCCCTGCCAGGGGGCACCAGGCCCGGCCACCCGTGGACAGGCGGGAGATCTCTGGGGCCCCGATCCGACCCCTGTGGTGGGGGATCGGCTTGACATGCAGCGGTCCCTGTCCTGCTCCCATGAGCAGTTCTCCTTCTCGGAATACTGCCCCCCCTCGGCCAGCAGCACTCCGGCCTCGACTCCGGAGCTGGTGAGACGCTCCAGTGGCCTCTCCCGCAGCCGCTCGCAGCCCTGCGTTCTCAACGACAAGAAGGTTGGCGTCAAACGGCGGCGGCCCGAAGAGACCCAGGAACAGAGGCCTTCCCTTGACCTGGCCAAGATGGCACAGGTAAGATCCCCTGCAGGCAGGGTGCTGTCCGGGTGTGGTGTGCCCATCACGGGTGTTTGCCCACCTGGGCCAGAAGAGCCATGCCAACCAGGCCAACCGCAGAAATTTCTGGAGGGTCTCTGGTCCTTGATTTTTTGAAGTCCTATTCAAAGAAAGACTGTTTCCATTCTTCTTTTAATTTTAGTTTTTAAGTGTCTATTTCTCTCAGTTGAAAGGCCCAGAGCCAGATAGGGTGTGGGGCAGGTGTTGACCAGGTACCATAATCCCCTGCTGGGGCCTCCTTACAGGAACCCAGCCCTGCGGCCACTGAGAAGAGCATTCACACACTCTGTGTCCTCAGCATCACTCAGATCAGGGGTCCTGAGAGAGATGGTCAGGTCACTCACTCTGATTGAACTGTCAAAAGCATTAGCCCGTCAAGAAGGCATGATCGATACCCTCTGTGCCCCTCTGTAGTCGTCCTCTCTGTTCACTGCAGGTAAAGCCACTGCCACACACCCTGTCACTTGGTCTTCTTTATCTCAGGGCTCTGCTTTATCTCACACTGATCATGGGTATTGACTTGAATGCAGTGAACTTGGAGTTGACACACCACCGATGGGACACTCTCAGAGCCCAAGCAGTGTCTGCATTGGGTTCTTACTAGAGAGGCTCCTGAGGGTGACAGTGTAGCCGTGAGGCCCCAGGAGGAGGGGTGGCCCTTGTGACTCGTGAGTCCAGGACGACAAGGACGGGTCGATGTGGCGCACAGAACACAGAGCTTGTGGCTCTGGATCCAGGAGGCTCTGCGTGGCTTAGTGCCCCGGTCTGCCCCTCCATTTTCTCTGGTCTTGCGTTTATCAACGTCAGTCCTTGCTGGGTTTGAGGAGGCTACAGACACCCTAGGTGGTGAGGTTGTGTGCAGAGGGCATGGCCTGGTGCACAGCAGCCCAGCGGGCAGGTCCAGGGTGGGAGGCTGGCACATCCACTCTGCTTCCGACGATTCAGTGCCTGGTGCTGTAGCCTCCTGTCACTTTAGAATGAAAACATGGTTTTTTGTTAACAGAGAACTCCTTTTATCTCCTTAGCCTCCTTGTCAGATATGTAGGTGTCCTGAGGCCAGAGCACCCCTGGCTACAAAGGCCAGGCCCACCAGAGGACTAGCTCAGGATGTGCCCTGGTGCCAAGCATACTGAGCTGGCCGAGTTTGGCCTGCACCCTCTGCCCCTTGCTTCCTGCTTCCGTATCTCCCACCGCAGCCCCAGGGGTCCCCGCTGTTCCCCCAAACTGGGCGTTACTGACATTACAACTGAACAGGGATTGAGTATACTTGTTTACGTTGGACAAGCAAGTGGGTCCTCCCTTGGAAAAACGTCAATGGGTGAAAAGCCTGGAAAGATGGCCTATTTGGAGACTCTGAAGGGGCCCCAGAGCCCCGAGTTCTGGGGTGATGAATGGCTTCAGTTAAATGTTTAATGCCGAGCTGACTTTATTGGCTAGTAAGCTAGATGGGTAATAGAAACAACTTACATATGCTATTATAGTTCATTAGCCACAAAGTGGAAGAACACTATTGGCATCACCAGAGACCTTTCCAGTCCTGCCATTGGTAGAATTGGTTTAAAAATACGTTGCTCGCTGGGGCTGCCCAGATGTATAGATTATCTCACCGGCTCCAGGCAGGTCTCCAAGACCCAAGGAGAGGGTGCTGGGCCGGGGGAGACCTCCAGGATTCGCTTGTCTGCCCTGGCGCCGGCTTGGGTGTGGAAAGCTTTCTCTAGTGTCCATGGTCAGAGCCCTCCACCACCAGGCTAACCCCTTTCTGTGGCCGAGCCCCGCCCCACCAGCCCCTCTCACCATGGTCGCTGTGCCGGCTTTGTCTTCCACAGGATCTGTGACCTCAGGAGTGGGGCCCATCTTTCCAGGGGGCCCTGAAAACCAGACTGAGGGCAATCTGTGTGTTTGAGAAGAGCCTAGGACTTGGCCTGGAAAAGACAGGGTGTGGGCCAGGCCCCAGTGGGCTGGGCACTTTGTGCTGCACAGGGCCTGTTGCCCAGCAGACCGCTGAGAAGCCCACGTGGCGCCACTGAGGACTGATGGGGAGTGACTGTCCAGGGAGCTGTGCCCCCACCTGCTGCAGTGTGCTGGGCATCTGAAACTGCCGGGACGTGGGCAGGTCTGCAGGAGAAGACCAGGCTTGTACGGGCAGCTACTCTGGTCCATTTTCCTGCCCTCAATTCCTTAAACTGGTCTTAACTCTCAACTGTCTCATGAGTCTTTTGACCCATTTATTTGGATGAGATTTTGGATTTGGGGTTTGCACTGCCGGCTTGTTTGTTAGCAGCTGAATGCTTGAACCACTGACCTCCCATGGATGTGGACAGATGAAGGGCGGTACCCACCAGATAGAGTGGTTTGTGCGCTTACTTTTTGGAGCTTGGAGGGTAAGGGTTTCCAGTTGCACATCCTTGTGAAGGAGGCCCTTTGGGCTGGGTTCTGGGACATAGATGTGTGACGGCAGAGTAAAGGGGCAGTGTGACTTTTTGGTGAGCCCTTTGGTGCTGCTGGACTTGCTAGGGGCATGGCCTGCCTTCCCTGCAGGTACTGACTGGGGCTGATCCGGAGGGGTCCAGGGCCACCTGAGGAGGGTGAGTACCAAAGCCCCTCCAACCTGTCAGCAGCAAAGGGGCCTGGGAGAGAGCCTGGAAAGGTCAGAGCAGCAGGGGAGGGCAGACAGCTCTGAAGGCCAAACCGCCCTTTGTCCATCCACATCCATGGTAGGTCAGTGGTTCAAGCATTTAGCTGCTAACAAACAGGTCGGCGGTTCAATTCCACCAGCCGCTCCACAGGAGAAAGATGAGGCAGTCTGCTTCTATAAAGATTTACAGCTTTGGGAATGCTGTGGGGGCAGTTCTGCTCTGTCCCGTAGGGTCACTGTGAGTCAGAATCGAGTTTGGTTTTTTTTAGTGCTCTCTGGTCTGGTGGACGTGTTCTTCATCTGGAAAGTGGGCATGCTGGTACCTCCTGGGCTTTGCTGGAAGCTCAGGGCTTGTCCATTCTCACTCCTCCCAGGAAACTGAAGCCCTTGCCTCTGGCTCTGCCAGGAGCCTGGTGTTTGATCTGGATCTCCGTTTAGCAGAAGGCCTCCAGAGGAGGGCCAGGAGGTTCAGGGGCCTGGGTGCAGGAGAAGGAGTCAGAAAGGATGGGGTAGTTAGGTTGGAGGGGGAAGCAACGCCAGCTCCAGGGCCAGACCAGCATCTCAGAGCCTAGTTCTGTCACTTAGCAGCTGTGCAGCCCTGAGCCAGTCATTTAACATCTCTGTGCAACAAATAACAGTTCTCCCTTCTTTGTGAGACTGTTGGGGGCAATACGGGAAGTAACTTGTGGGGATACGTGTGTAACGTGTTTGTGTATGCGTGTGTCTCTATCTGTGTGTGTGTGAAGCTGTTCAGTGCTTGGCTGCTAACCAGAAGGCTGGTAATTTGAACCCACCCAGCAGCTCTGGAGGAAGGAGCCCTGGAGCTCAGCTTCATAAAGATTACAGCCCAGAAAACCCTGTGGGACGGTTATACTGTCTCAAGGGGCCACTGTGCATCAGAATTGACTCAGTGGCACCCAACGACAGTACTTTGTGTCTGGACATGTGTGTGTATATGTCTGTGTGTGTGTGTGGCCCCCACCCTGTGCATTTCTCTGTATATTGTGTCCATCTTTTTCCTTTCATTTTTATTCTCCCTTTTCTGTCTGCTATTAACTGCTTGTTTGTTCCTGTTCTTGCCTGTGGAGAGCCCGACACTCAAGAGCCGAGGTGATGAAATGGCAAAAGAATCAGACTTGCCACCCACCAGTGGAGGCCAGGGTGGGTGGGCGTCCTCATCTCAGCACCTTTCTGACAGCGTTCCTGGGCATGGGTGCCCAGTAGCAGCAGCAGGATAGGACAGAGTGGGTCTGGTTAGAAATTGTTTTAGGGTGGCCTTGAGCAGGGATGCCACGCAGGTCTCCAGGTGACCTGGCCATCTGGGCTTGAGTGAAGGAAGTCCACTGTAGTGAGGAAAGCCCAGACCTGTTCTAGAAGCAGCACCCCCCCCCCCCCCGTGGTTGTGGTTACAATGCTCGGTTCCACGGAGCACGCTGCTCTCGGACAGCCCTGAGGGTTACCTGTGCCTGGCCTCTGCCTGAGTCTGACGTCATTACTGCATACACAGCTCTCCACCCTCATGTGGTCCCCTCAAGACCCTTCTGCCTGGTGTTAGTGTGTAGCCGCAGCCTCCCTCTGCAAAGTGAGTGTGTGCCATTGTGTGCAGGCCATTGCCAGCGGCTACTCCCTCAAGACCTGGTTGTCGTCCAGTGAGACCTGTGCTGTGCGCTGTGACTTGGAGACGATCACGTGTGTGCAAACAAAGGTCTCAGACAAGGCAACAGTGAGCTAGATTATGGGTAGCCGCCATGCCCCAGGTGTCACTCCTGGCCGTGTGTTTAACTCCAAGCTGGTCTGCTGGAAAGAACAGCAAACGGTGGTTCTCCACAGTGCTGCACACAGAAGCGAGGCGTTCGGGGCGGGGGGCAGGGTGCCGGCACAGAGGGTGGGTCGACTGCAGCCTCCAAACCTCCCTGAGCGGCCTCAGAACAGGCACCTGTTGTTTGCAGCCCGCGGTAGGCGGGCCGGGGCGGCTTTGGTAGAAAGAGGCATGAGCGGAAGACGAGCATGCCAGGACACCTTTGGGATGCTGCAGGCGCTGGAGCTGGGTTCTTGGGGACCAGTCAGGAGAGGGAACAAGCAAGGCCGCAGGGGCTCTGGCAGGGGGAGGGGATGTGGCAGGGGATCATTTGAGGGCTATCCCAGATGAACCTCACTAAAACTGCCTGTTTGCCGGGCTCTCCCTGTGGTCACCCTTCAGCTGTCTGTCCTGTGTGCTGATGGGCTGCCTCTTACAAGGGGCCCCGGCTCTCCCCCATCACCATGTATAGGGAGGCCCTTCATGCCACTGGCAGCATGACTGCCTGCTCAGGCTGCTTGGGGA